GGCGACGCGGTGAAGCCGCGCCGCCCCTTACCGTCAGCTATCTCCGGCTGGCCCGCGCGGAGCCGGTGTTACCGCGCGCGCCCTGCGTCCACCCACTCTCCCGGAACGAACCGCCCTCGCGATCCGCCGAGCCCCTTGGCGTTCCCTAACGCGTTCCGCCGCCTCCTTCTTTGAGACAACCGTCTCGCAGAATTTGACGACGGCCTCCCACTTGTTGGCCGAGTCTAACATGGCCCGGACGACCCCTCCCGGGGAGAGATCACTTCCCACCTCGCACTGGAGGAAGTGTCTCTCCCACGCGAACGCGGGACACTCGCTCAGCGTGTGCTGAGCGGTGTCCGGTCCCTCCCCGCAATGATAGCATTGCGGCGATGATTCCCTACCCATCCGACACAAGTACTCGGCAAAACAACCATGCCCGGACAGCACCTGTGTGGTCCGGAACGTGAGCGCTCCGTGCCCACGATCCATCCACTTCTCCAACAGCGGAAGAATCGCCCCGACCGCTCGCTTACCTACGGCGCCAGTGCGCAGGAGCTCGAGCCTCCATTGCCAAATAGCGTCACGGCGGGCCTGGAGCCGGGCCTCCTCAATGCTCGGGTCTGGCAGGTCCCCCCCATTAGTATCGGACGCGTTACGACCGCGCAGACGGCGCCTGAGGTCGTAAATCCCCTCTTCGATTTGCGCTTGGTAGCGCCACGGCAAAACACCCGCCAAGACCATCGACGTCTCATAAGAGATCGTGCGGTAGCCCATCACAACCCTGATGGCCAGCCTCCGCTCGACCCTCCGCAGGACGACCAGTGAGTTCCCGCTGGCCATCAGGTCGGCAGCCCAAACTGGGGCGCCGTACAGGGCCATGCTCCGCACGACCCCCATGTAGAGCCTTCTCACGCTCTCGCTAGGACCCCTCAGGTTGGGTAAAAGACGCGCCAACGCGTCCGCTGTACGGCCCAACCTGGGGGCCAGAGCATTGAAATGGCCCTCGAAACTCCAGTGGGAGTCCAGCAGGAGGCCGAGATACCGCATCTCGGTCCCTATACGGACCTCCACTCCGTCTACCCGGACCACGGCTCCTTCCGGAGGCTTATCCCCACGGGGGTGGCAGAAGGCCATCGCCTCCGTCTTCCGGGGAGCCACCTCCAGTCCGAGCCGTCGGATGGCCGAGACAACCGCCGCAATCCCTACTTCTAAATTCCGGCTGGTCCTCCCCCAGTCGCGACCCACTGCCAGAATGTGGGTATCGTCCGCGAAACAAGTCCCGAAAACGCCGTCTGGCAACGGGACCGTGAGCGCCGCGTTGTACCCCACGAGCCATAGGTCCGGCCCCAGCGCCGCAAGCCACAGGTCCGGCCCCAGCGCCGCACCCTGTGGCACCCCGCGCTCGACTGTCCAAACGCGCGTTACCCCTTCTCGGTCTACGCATTCTACAGTCCTGCCCCGGAGATAGTCGGAGACTATGTCCCGGAGCTCCCCAGGAACGCAGTGTATAACCAGCCCCTCCTCTATCGCCCAGTAGGGAAGCGAGTTAAACGCATTCACGATGTCCAGCGATACGGCTATCGCCAGACCTCCCCGTGAGGTCGCGGCCTCCGCGATCGCCCGGACTCGCCTCACCGCGTCGACCGTACTGCGCTCCTTCCTAAACCCGAACTGACACGGTGCCAGATCTGGGCCCACCCCGGATAGATGGGCCACCAACCTCTCCGCGATAACTCTTTCGAAGAGTTTCCCTATCTCGTCTAGGAGAACGATAGGCCTGTAGGACGACGGTTCGTCCTCGGGCCTTCCCGCCTTACGCAGGAGGACCAGCCTTCCCCGTTTCCAAATTCCCGGGAACGTTCCCTCCCTGAGGCACGCGGTGAAAAGTCGCGCCACCCTTTGACCGAGGTGAGGGAGCACCAAGGACAACACCCTGCTAGGTACGCCGTCAGGACCCGGAGCGGTACTCCGAGCCTTCACCCGTCTGACGGCGCGGACGAGATCCTCGACGGTTACCTCCACACCGTCGCTCCGCGGAAGGCGAAGCAACGGCCCGGTTCGCGTCGGATGTTCCTCGCGGGGGAACAGTGCCTCAACGACGCTCCCCAGGAATTGAGGATCAAGGGTCTCTGCCACCGGAGGGGCCCACGGACGAAGCTTCTCCATCACAAGCTTGTACGGCCGCCCCCAGCGATCGCGCTCCAGAGACCCAAGGAACTCGTCCCAGGCACGGTCCTTGGACTCTTTGATGGCCAGCTGCAATGCCATCACGCCCTCACGATACACTCCCCAGAGGTCTTGCTCCCTCTCGGGATCGCGGTTCCGTCTGCGTCGGGCGCGCTGATACCGGCGACGCAATGGCACACACGCTTTGCGAAGCTCCGCGATGTGCGGCGTCCACCAGTATGCCGCCCGACGTGGTCGAGGGGTGGCCCGGGGCATCGAGACATTACAAATGTCGTGCAATGTGTCCCGAAGCCACTCCGCCTCGCCCCGGACGTCCGCAATCGTCTGGTCCGGAGAAGCCGGCCAGCAAGCCGCGAGGGCAGCAGCCTCCGCTAAATCGCGGTCGAGTGCTCTTAACGCCCACCGACGGGGGCCCGAGCGCCCACCACCGCGGCGCCGGGTATCGGAGGAAATGTCGACGCGGACGTAGCGATGATCGCTCAGCGTCTCCACTCCCTCTTCCACCCGCCAGCTCGCAACGAGTCGCGCGGCCACAGGGGAGGCCCAGGTCAAATCTACGACCGACTCACCCTGAGGCCGCACGCAAGTGCTCACCGAACCCCTGTTTTGCAACAGGAGCCCATGCGCCGCGGCCCAAACAAGGACCGCCTCGCCCCTTGGATCAGTCGTCGAGCTACCCCACTCTACCGCGTGCGCGTTGAAATCCCCGAGGATCAATACGCCCCGCGATGGGCATGCTGAAACGATCGAACCCACCCTATCGAGAAATTCCTCGAACTGCTCCAAGGGCCAACGAGGCGGGGCATAGACGCCCACGACCGCCGTATCCCCCCATCGAACCAGTACTGCACCGCGACCGGCCGCCGACGCGGTGCACGTCGGGAAACCCTGGCGATTCCGCGCCACTATCGCGACCAAACCCTCCGCATCCCCAAACCAATCGTTCCTATCGGCGGGAATCCGGTACGGGTCTACAACTACCCCTATCGACGCCTGCCACCCAACGACGCCTGCCACTCGTCGAGGGTGTGGATCAGGAGATCCTGTGCCCTCGCCGAGTGGTTTACGTTGGCTAGTATGAAGGGGCTCGACGGCCCCATTACTTACCGGTGACGTCGTCCGCTGCCTCCACAGCGCTGTCCTCTTCCGGCGTTGGTGTTGCCTCCATCTCTTCGGCGGGTCCCTCGGGTTGTGGTCCCTCGCTGGTTGCTGGCTCTTCAGCAGCCATCTTCTTCACCGCAGGTGTTGGAGTGGATGCCTCTTCCTCGCTGTTGGGGGCTGGCTCCTTCCTCTTCCTGCTGGTGACCTCGGCGTCTTCTTTCTTCGCAGGTTCTGCCCGCGATTCCTTCTTCTTCTCCGTTGCCTTTGTGGGGGCCACGGAGATCTGGGAGCAATCCTTTGCCCCCAGGCTGTGCTCGGCTGGGCGTCCGAGGCTGGCGCAGAGCGGACATCTTCGTTTGTTCACGCACTCGGCGGCGATATGTCCCGTGCCGCCGCACGCGTAACATAGACCGGACCGGTCCGGCCCTCCGCACTTCTGCCGGGTGTGTCCGGTTTGCAGGCACCGAAAACAGTGCTGCGGGCGCGGCTCAAGTACGTGCACCTTCGCCTGCGCCCAACCGACGCGCACTTTCCCGGCATCCCGGACCTTTTTGACGGCGGTCAGTGGGCAGCGCACCCAAGCTGACCCGAG